GTGGACATTTTGGCCTGATGATGTCAGATGATTAATGAATGTCACTCAAATCTCTTAGCTTTCATGGGCCAGTGTTTTTGTCACTGGGTGCCTGCAATGCTAGCAGTGACAAAACAAGAACTTACCAGTTAAAAAAAGAATAAATATCTTCAACATAACTCTCCTCTCTATACTGAATACCATTACTTTGCAGCTTTCCTCACTTTGTGTCCTTGACACTGAGTCACTGTGTCTTTCCTCTCTTATTGGTGTTGCCTGATTGCTCACTCTGCAGATGTTGAGGTCATGGTTCACTGTTAGTTCCCTTGCCGTGTCCTTCAGTCTGGTTTTGGGTAAGCACGTCCCCAGGCTGTATGTCCCGTCGATGATTATTCAGTCATCCTCTGCTTGAAGACTATGCGCACTCAAACAGAACGTCCTTCATGCAAAACTGCCTATTCACCTTCCCTTCAATTGCACTAATAGTGTCTTAGGAAGTCAAAATATTGCTTAATGTGCCCACAGATACCTGCATAAAGTGGTGGTGCAGTTTTCTCACAACCCCACCTCTAGTTTCTTACTTTCATTCTGTTGCTTCCTCTGTTCCTCTGTCATATACTAAGGCCCAATTCCAAACTGGCCCCTACAACCTCCCACTCTGTAATGAGTGTAACTCGAGGCTAGTACACAGTATACTTTTGGACACCATCTTCTTTCTCCAATGGAAACAGGGACATTCATAAGCATTCTGAACAGCAATATTAACATTTAATAACAAGAAACCATTAACCTTTTTCAGGTTCTCCAATTTCTTTGATGCCTGTTTTGGAGATACTTGACCAAACGTAGTGAGTGGGTAGGTGGAGGGTGTAGGGGCCTGTTTGGACTTGAGTAGTTAGTTAGTTACTTAGTGTCCATGTCATTCCAGATCCAGCCATCCCCTCTTAAATGACACGATCTTCCCATTTCCCTGAACAAAACTGCTTAATTTCCACTAGAACTCCACAATTTCAACTAGTACACTGCCATATTGTAAATGGTAAATGGACTG